AAAAAAGTACTCCAGAGTGTTGTTCAGCATGGGGGTGAGTAGAAAATGAAGGCTAATCATGTTTTGGGTGTACTATTCCTTTAAATATACGATGAGCCTATATAAAGACCATTACTTCACTATTTTGTGTTTCAAGTTTTTAGCTTTTAATGCACAGTCTGCTAATGCAGCCAATCAAACTGCAGAAGTCTTATCTTATTATTATTGTTATTAGCTCTTATTTACAATAATCATAAGTCTAGTATTTGTTTGCATAGAAGTGTAGCATAAAATCAAGTGATGCTTTTAACAGATCATTATGTGAGATGTTTATAGACATCGTCTAGGTTTCACCTATATGTCACAAATCTCATGCTAGCTAGATAACATTGGAAATACCGCAGTATCAGAGAAAGATAATCCTCCACATCTTCAAACAAGGAAACACAAGGGGGAAATGGAATTGTGTGACATCATAAAACACATGGAGCAAAGTTGTTTTGTTATTTGTACTAGTCTGCGTTGTTTTCACATCCGTCCAGGTGGAGCTGGAAGAACTTGTAAAAAAAGAGCACGCCAGGATCGACAGTCAGGACAAAAATGAGACAGCTGGGGAAAGCAAAGGAGCCGCAACCAAGGGGGACCCGGGTTCAGCTGAGCTAAAAGCCAAAGCAGAGGACTGACCTGTTGAAGAGCGGCCTTGTTTACATAAACAACCGGAGGTTTATTCTCTAAGAATGAGAAAAAGAAGCAGCATCTGGTTTCTCTTAGTCTATCCTCTGATCTGAGGACAGATGCTCTAATTATACTATTGCTTATTTCAGTCATTTGCACTTTACTAACACAATGTTTTTCACAAGCTTTTGTTTTTTTGGCTCTCTGACCAACAAAATATGACTACATGGATTTCAGCTCAAGGTGTTGGAGATTTGTTCCTGCTTCGAAGCATAAATGACTCGCTTTGTTGATGAGCTGAAACGCTGCGTTTTCATTGGGTGTCCTAACGATCTGCCCCTAAACTAAATGTAGTTCATCTGATAAAACTGTCAAAGTGTTTCCGTCAGAAAAGTAACTTCCTGGTGGGTGAAAATGTTGATAAATCTGAGAGACCTTGGTGGAAGCTTTAACTTCACTTTTTTTCCCAACTATCAGCGGTTTTAACAGTGGTTAAGCTTTTAATTATTATTTTGTATCAGCTTTCTTTTTGTTTATATATGATTTTTATGTTGATCTTAGACCAGAAATATTTGAAATAAGATTCCTCAGTAGAGCTACTACTGGTTTGTTTTTTCTTTCCCACCACAACAAGATAAAAAGCAATATATAGATAAAGAAGTACCTAAAAAAAAATAAACAGATGTTAGTGTTGGAAAAAATGTTCATATCTTGCATTGTGATGACAGATTTAATGAGAGTTCTCTGAGCATTAAACTTTAACTTTAAATTTCCTGCAGCAGATGTTCCCTTTCTTAAAAAATGTTCGTTTTGTGTCATTGGAAAGGTTTGTCGTTATGTTGTCCTTCTTATGAATGCAGTGAGCTGAGAATGATGAACGGTTGAAACATCAGACTGAAACTCTAGTTACCGGACTTTACTCCTTCTAACAGTCATTTATTTCATCTTGATTTACTCAGGATTTCCTTTCCAATTCTTAAACTTTTTTAAGGTCAGAACCTATTTTTAACCCAACCAGATGTTCTTGTTTTTTTTTAATCTAATCTGACCTCCCATAGCCCCCTAAATAATCTGTGGAAATTTCTTAATCAATATTTATCTTTGGCAGTGAGCTGATGGAGGTTTCTTTAGTTCCCCCCAACCGATTGTCTGATTTGAGTCAAAGTCTCTGAGCTGCTCTTAGACTTTAATATTACTTCCAGTCAAAAGAAGCATCCTGGTAAAATTGACTCAGAAACTAAACCTGCCAGAGGTCTATGACTCATTTTGGGTTTAACTCTGTATTCAGCTGCCTGTTAAAAAAGTTAGAGCTTAAACTATTACACTGCAGTGCAGCAAACAGGCCTGAAGAGAATCCATTGCAGGACTCTGTAACCTTTACCATCCAGATAGTCATCATTTAGCTCAATAAAGCTCCATTAGAGACGCAAATGTTGCACGGATGTCTGGAAATATTAAACAAAACTCTGATAAACATCTTTCTTGTCTTCGGTGTTGATATTTGGGGGAAAAATATGCTAAAAAGGACATTATTTCCAAACTAATGACAGGGAGAACATTAACAAACAACAATCAATATAAAACATATAATACATAAATTGTACTGTGCATGTATAATTTAACTCAAATCTATTAGAGGTAAGTTCAAAAAGGAGGTGAGGAAGACGTCAACACTTTTTTTTTTTTCTTACTTCCAACCCTTTTTACCCTCAGTCAATTTTATTTTATATTGCATTTATTACATCCTTAAAACAGTATAGATGACCCATATATACACTTTCATTGACAGATGCACATGCATATGCAATTATATAAATCCATGTTCACATCTATCCCTGCCCTCTAGAAATATTTAAAAGTACTTTTTATAGCTTTTTTTTTTATTAGATATAAGAAATTTACACTATGCTTTGTGTATCTAGCTGAGCTGTGAACAAAGGCACTCCACAGCTAATACTTTATTGTTCTTTTTCTTTTAAATTCATATCTTCCCTCATAGTATATCCATTATTTACTTCTCTGAACATTTCTTAAAAGTTTTTGGCAGTAATTTTATATTGCTTCATACATAATCTTCGCAGTTTTGTATTTTACCAAATCTAGAATTGTCAAAGTATGAGAATTTATATAGAATACTGTCGTGTGAAAAAAGCTTTCCACCATACATTCTATCCATCCATCCATCTTCCATCACGCTGATCCCAAGCAGGGTCACGGAGGGTGCTGGTGCCTATCTCAAGCTGTCTATAGGCGGGGTACAACCTGGACAGCTCGCCAGCTCATCACAGGGCAACACAGAGACAAACGGGACAAACAACCATTCACGCACACACTAACACCTAAGAAGAATTTAGAGAAGCCAATTAACCTAACTGATGTTTTTAGATGGTGGGGGGAAGCCAGTAGCCTCGTGAGACCATCCTGATCTCGCGAGCTTTCAAGGTTTCACTCGCAGATCAGTGTGGCTACTTTCTGTTAAAGAAAATTTGGAGCCGTTCACCAAACGAACGTCCAATCAGTGTTGGCTTTGAGGCGGGTTGAGGTGTAACGCAACGAGAAGCGCGACAGTTCAGTCTAAAGAACATGGCGGCTTCAGCCGATGAAACTAGCGTTAG